CAAACGATTTTCAAAATTGAATGGAACTGAGGCGCGACATTCACGTGACTTATCGAAAGTTATTGTCAGTTCTATACGTTTATGAAGTTCGTTATGGAATCGCTTCGGGGCGAATGCTATTCGTCTAGTCCTGTAGTTGTCTAGTTTGACTTGCTTGTAACAACGATACTGATGATTTCGTGCGACTATGTTTAACATATTTAAAGGAAAGTACTAGTTATGTCCGCTCTACTAGTATTATATTTGAAACTCTTCACTGAAAACCTATCGTGTCAACAAAATATTTTTTTTTACTTCTATTAACATTTCTATGAGTATTATTAAAGAGTGTGAGAGAGACAGACATAGAAAGATATAGAGTAAGTAAAAAGGTTCTATTTTGTTCTTATGCTAAAGTCTTCCTTAAAAAGAAAATCAAACCACTATTTAAATAAATCTATTCTCGGTAAAAATGTATATTACCCTAGGGGTATAACATTTATCATAATAAAAGCTTTTAATGTGTCATAAATACGATTCCCTTCACCCGACATCTTCTACAAATCCTATATTTTATTACGGGGAGCCTAACACGAATATTTGTGACATTCGCCATCGTATCGTTTTCGACATAATTTGTATTAACATTTGTACAGCAACGGGCGTACCAAAATCTAATATTAGCTTTGACATAATTGACGAAGACTATACCCTGTCGATTGTCACAAATATTCGTGCTAGGACCAGAGATCACGTAATCGTATCTGTTTCTAACTATTTTTTTCCTTGGATGAATTATATTTCATTGATCCATTCTTCCCACATAGCCTGACCTCACCAGATATTAAGTGAGGATGTAGACAAAACAGGGTATAAATATCTTCACAGCAGAATACAATTTTCAATGGGGGGGAGCACTGCACAGTGATGACCTTGAGTCGCCAAGATATTTGAAAAGAACTATACTCCCTAGTTTTGCAAGTGCCCTTTCACTCTACTCTTGAAGTCCCCTCGTCATACTTAGACGGAAACACAGACGCCGACAACTTGTTCCACTTCTTTATTAAAGCGAAACAATATTTTGTTTTAAATAATTGTTTTGTTTACTTTGGTATTAAATTACATACCTCTATGTTTCTGACCTTGTCTAAAGATATTTGATGTGTTGCCACATCATTGTAAATAATAAGGCATCAGGGGAGAGACGTGCCATTAATTAACATATTAAATTCGAAGGCTGTATTGATAGAGGGTAACCGACTTGAGTACATGTCAAAGCCCTATAAACCGCTATGTATATTTAGTCACTTAAATAAATTTTCACATATGTATTACATTACATAGCTGTTTGTTTAAATCAGTTATTTAAACCGACACTAAGTTGGTAGAGACATGCCTTAGTTTAGATTTGTATGTGAATGAAATGAAATACTTCAGTAACAATTTAATGTCTATGTGTTTAATGTTTTTAGTCAGAATATTATAATTTACAGAACTTTATTTAAAAAAAAAAACGAATAATTCACTAAAAAATGTTATTAAAAAGAGTCCCTATAGGCAAGGTCCCGAAGATACTGGCAGCGTTCCCCCTCTGTACAGCTGAACTAATTCTTTGACCGAGGTATTTGTTTTTATTTTTATTTACAGAACTTTCAAATGCTCATCTTAGACATGCGTTTTCACCGTCGAAACACATTTTTATGCCAAACTTTTCATTTCCATTGCCAAAAAATGTAATATAATATTTTCAAAGTTTTCAACATAAAAATTCTTCCTTTAATATTATAAAGAAAAGAATGTTTAAGATAATTGATGCATTAAACTAAAGATGTACTTTGTTAGACAAATGGCTCGGTGAAATTGTCGCTTTCACAACTTTTATGGCCCCCAACTTTTTGTGGGTCGTCTTTTCTGCGTTTGTATTTTAAATAGCGTTGATTAAACGCACCCTTATTGCTATACTCAGAGTCAAAAATTCGACCCTAATAGACGAGAAATCTTTATTAAAATTTAAAAATAAAATTTAAGCTTATAAACGGCTACATATATTATTTAGAAATAACTTTGACGTTTACGTTTCACTGCAAACTTTGTACGGCTTTGTGAATCTCCGACCTCGCCGTCGACCCGTGAGAGATTTATGTTTCCCTATAATTAATTGTTTTTGTTTATATTTAAAGTCGAACCCAAATATACGTCAAATAATTAAACTTACCTAAATAAATCAAATACATACAATTGTCTGAATTAGGGTTCGTTCACACAGACCTGGGCGTAGCGCATCAGATGACGTGTAACTTTTCACATATAGTCCTTACGAGTTGCAGTCACCAATATTTTATGAGTGTAACAACATTGTATGAGTGTTCACATCTAATTATCGGAGCTCACTATTTACTCGCGATTTCTGGTAAGTACTAGTCTAATCAGGTTTGAAACGGTGGATTGCCTCCTCATTCGTTTTCGCGAGGTCGATAGACACCAGCACAAATAGCAGTTTATAAAGCAGATCCGCTCTGAGCCGGTTAGAACCGCTCCGAGCCGGTAGCATCTACTCGGAGCCCAAAAGATGCTCTACGAAGCCTGTTAGTATTACGCATGTTTTTTTTTTCAATTCCGCGCAGATGCAGTCGCTGGCAATAGCTAGTAATCTTATAAATACTTTTCTAAAAGTCTGTCCAATATTTTCAGATAAATATGTTTCAAAATGCTATTTTAAAATTTAACCTTATCCAAAAGCAATATAGAAAATGTATATTGTATCTCGTCTGGTTTTCTCTCAGAATGTTATCTGTTATTGGAATAGTTTTTCATTGTCTGAGAATATTTGAAGATATTTCAAATACTACGTCTTTAATCTTATATTAAGATAAAGACATTGAAAATATATATTTTATCGATGAAAATATTTATTGTTTATTTCGTAAACTAGCTGTCGCCTGCGAATATTCGGGTGGAATTAAAAAAAAAAACTTAATAAATAGTCTATATGTTCTTAAAGACTGTGTTAATCTATGCTTAATTTCAGCGAGATCCGTTGTGTACCATAGATAACTTCAAACATCCATCCATTTATCTGAACATTCGCATTTATAATATTAGTATTATATTATAAATGCAAATGAACAAGTTGCCAGCCTCTGTTTTTCCGTCCAAATATGATGTTGGGACCCTCAAAAGTAGCGCGTAACATCTTTAGTCCAAATCTCCACTAACACCAGGTGGGATCGTGGTCAAGTGCTAGTTTATAAAACGTAAAAAAAAATATTAGCAGTTCAATCATTTATTTATACTCTTTTAAAAATATTTAATAATCTATTTTAAAGTCTGTTATTTCTCTTCTTATTGTTTTAACGATAAGAAAACCATTGTTAAATGCCTTTAGAATTTTTATTCTTAAACTTTCATCATTCCACTCTCATAATAAAAGACAGAAAACGAGAAAGTAGGTTTTATTACTGACCAGTGCTAATAACAATTAAGCGACCGAGCTTATTGTCGCCGTGTGAAATGAATGCGTCCAAAAAAAATATTTTTTTTCATTTATCATATGATTTAGTGACAATTAATAAATTCAGATCATAATATTTAACTTCATAAATATTTTAATTTATTTGCAAGCCTACGAAACTAAATTATTAACAAAGCTAGCTGTCGCCTGCGAACCGTCCGCGCGAAATTTAAAACCTTAATTAGTAGCCTATGTTCCAGATATGTTTTACATCTGTGCCAAATTTCAGAGAGATCCTTAAATTCCTTCTGGAGATAACCTCAAACATCCATCCATCCAAACATTCTCATTTATATATAAAAAAAAGTTCTGTTAGTTACACTATTTATAAATCCAGAACGGCTTTACCGATATGGTTGAAAATTGGCGAGGAGGTAGCTTAGAGCCAGGAGACGGACATAGGATACTATTTATTCATTTTTTTACGAACTTATCCCTTGAAGAGCTGCTTTTTATTTGACTTATCTTTATTTGAAGTTTTTTTATATCTCCACGACGGAGTCGCGGGCGACAGCTAGTTTATAATAATAATAAGATGAATGAATTACCTAGTAATAAGTAGTCGTATAAAAACCTAAAGTTATAAACAAAGTTTCCCATAACATTATCATCTATCATTATCGCTCTCAATAAATCTTATTAGAAGAATATACAAAGTTAAAGTATGTCAAACTTTAATAACATAACTATTATAACAAATCTCTAAGATATAAATAAGTTTTGCGACCTCTGCTGCGAATGCTATGTCCTTTGACTTTTAAGAGACAGGACTTGTCAAGCTCGCACACCTTTGTTTTGACTGTGTATGCTCATTTTGTGTAAGTAAATTTTTGAATTACTACATCTCAATAAAGTCGCTTAATTTAACACAAATATCTGCGTTAGATGGATATATTTGATTGACATCTTTACCACCCCACCCTTCGCGTAGTGACAGACTTTTTATTTACAGACTGTTTATTTACTGAAATAACGTCGGGTCTGCCTAGTCCGTTTCTCAATAGTCAAAGACAACGTCCAATACAGTAAAAGTTTTGCAATACCAACTGCTCTGAATTGCGATTCCAACTTTCGTATGGTTACAAAGTAATATATGTGCATAGTTATTTCAACAAATAATACATAGGAAGTTTTCTTTTGAACAAGCCACGTTACTAACAACGCAACTTGTAGTTTTTTCTTCCGTAATCCATTTCAAATAAGAGAATTGTAAAAATAAAATACGATCATTAATGAACTCAAAATATGAAAAAATGCTTAAAAAATTCAAATGGAACAACTATAAAACATTGTCTAGTACAAGCGTAGAGCTCAGTTGGAATGGTACAAGAAATATTAGTAAATTAACAAACATTTGCTAATATATTATAAAAAAAAAAACTTTGACGAGAAACTATGAGCTTGTATTTTATATTGCGTTTTAGATTCTCTTTAATACAATTTTGTTTTACCAAATAAAACATAATGATAGCCACTAAAGCTATTTATTTCGATGTAAAATAAGGCGTGGAGTTAATCAAGGAGGTTTTATGGCGGCTAACGACCCTACATGTGATACAGGCGTGATAAGAAAGCTCGTTGCCTACTTGGTTTTTATTCCCAACGATAATGGGCCTGCTCTTTAGTACAGGCATTATGTGAACTTTGCACTTAACGTTTGCTATTTCACGGGATACTGTTTTCAGTGTTCCGTTATTCTTGATGACTGTTTTTGCTTTTGTTAATGCTTGAAAGTATTGCAAATTGATTCGAATAAGTACTACAAAAGTATTTATTCTTGAAATAAAACATGTCTGTTGATTCTCACACAAAAACAAACTGCTAGTACTCCAAAACTTCCAATTAAAGTTAGGCAGATTTTTATCTCTACAATTACAAGAGCTAACACTTTGATAGCATGTTTATTGTTGTGTTGCAGAGCCATCTAGCGACAATGTATACAAAAATAACAATAAATACAGTACATTTTTAAATAGAACTTATTCGCTACATAATCAAAACGTCTATTCTATTTCTTCTTTGGTCTTCTTCTTGGCAATATCTTCCTGTATCTCCCCAAATGATTTACCCTTAGTTTCGGGTAAAAAGAAGATAATAAATAGACACATTAATATTGGTATTACTGCGAAAGACCAGTATGTAGTGGCAGGACCAACTTCATTTATCAGCATTGGAAAATATTTGGTTGTAAGAAATATAAACGTTGTATTAACTCCTAAGTTAACAGCCACACCGAATGCTCGAGCTGGACCGTCGAATAGCTCCGTTACTGTTACCCATACCAAGGATCCAACTCCTGAAAACATAAAAGATTACAACGACTTTTATTCTTTTTTTTTAACAATAATAAACGCCACGGAGCGACGGTAGCACAGTCGTTAAGCACTGGACCAAACCAGACCAAAATTTATATTTCCAGGTTTAATTCCTACCATGTAGCAATGTGTTTTGCGATTTTCGAATTGCATATGTGCATTTATCAGAAATTCTTGGGGTGGAAAATATCGTGATACAACCTACATATATCTATAAATATATGTGTGAAGTCATCGCGCACTGGGTCTTATTGGTTGACTATGGCTTAGTCATCCTAACTTTGGGTAGGATCCGAGCCACTTTTTTACATACCTGAGGAGCGTTTAAGCCTCATATTAAAAAAATAATTCCATTATTAAACTACACAGGATAAAATTAGCTACGGTGATAAAAGTTGAGATTATTTTTTTTCTAAAGGAAAGATAATAACCAATATTAATAACATCACTCTGTATAGTTACTTATACATGGTGTTACAAAAATAGTTGTAATAGAAATTAAAAAAGCTTACCTGCATTATAGCAATAAACGACTATTACTAGTGAAATTAATGGAAGATTGTTCAAGAAACCGTGAACTGGTTCGTTGTCATGTGGTTTCAATTTAAAAAATGTTCCCAATCCAATCTGAAAATAGAAATAAATTAAATACATTAATCGATGGTCGACCAATGTTATTTGCAGGAGACGACTATTGCTCGAATAGAAGTGTAACGCTTGCACCATATTCGTTCCATTGTTCCTTTCTGTGGGTCTAGAAAAATTGCATTCACTCCGAAGCAATTCCATAAAGAATTTCAAAATGTATAAAACTGACGCGCGACAATCACGTGACGTATCGAAAGTTACTGTCAGTTCTATACATTTACAAGTTCTGTATCGAATTGCTTCGAAGTGAATTTACTTAAATGAAACCCGCTGAAGCTTTTACATATCTAACAGAGATATCTAGGAGACCTTTTTGGGACTCTTGATCTAATAGAATAATGAGATTTAATTTTTAAGAAAATTATAATAATAAGTTTTGGAAATAGTGAGGAGTAAAAGGTTAGCGTGCCTTGGACATATTATGCGGAGGGATGATGACTATATAAGGAAAAAAGTAATGAGATTGAATGTGGATGGCTACAAAGGTAGAGGAAGACCAAAAAATGTATGGATGGGCTGTGTGAAAGAGGATATGCGTAGCAATGGGTTGGATTGACATATGACGGCTGATAAAGATGTATGGAGGAGTAGTACATGCTGTGCCGACCCTTCATAGGGATAAGGGCAGGTTGATGATGACTTAGTTTTGGTACTTACCAATCCAATAGTCATCCCGATGAGCGAAGTGATCATTATAATCTTCCTACCAAATCTATCCGTCGTGTACATTGTCAGGAAACTTGATACGAACTGGATAACACCTATAATAACTGACGCTATTTCTGGCATTATCGACGTATGTGTAGATATTAATATTGTTTGTAAATAATACGACACAGCATTGTAACCGACCATTTGACAACCAATTGAAAATATCACCGAGATTAATAAGCTTTTACGAACTGTTGGGTTCTTAAGTATCGCAATTTTGTTAACTTTCTCCTGTTTCGATGATAGTGTGTACTCTGCGATTTCTTGCAAAGCCAGTTGCTCTGATCCATGGAGGAATTTAAGAACCTTTATTGCATCTTTTTCTTGTCCTGAAAATCACACATCATCAGTTCACTATACGTCCCCACCGAGGGGCTCGGACCCTACCCCAAATTAGGGGTGATTAGGCCATAGACAACCACGCTGGCCAAGTGCGGGTTGGTTGACTTCATACATATCTTTGAATTTCTTCGCAGATATGTGCAGGTTGCATCACGATGTTTTGCTTCACCGTAAGAACGTCGGATAAATGTACATGTGTAAATCGGAAATTGAAAAACACATTGGTACATGGCGGGATTCAAACCCAGGACCTGCACATTGCAAGTCAAGTGCTTGACCCCTGAGCCACCGACGCTCTCACATTCACCATCACACATTAAACCATAAACACTAACTATCAACGCATCTGCAGTTCCTCTGGTGTTGCAGACGTCCATGGTTGTCGTTGATCACCTTGGCGTTCTCGCCGCTCGTTTGCCCCCTTCTCCTATAAACAAGCTAGAATATAAATGAATGATTTGCCACGTGGTAAGTTAAAAGTTAACGTAAGTCGAACTCCTTAATATAGAGTCTATCAAGGATATTTGCATCGCAGTTACGATAACGTAATTGTAACTTCATCGACAACATTTGTATGAGATCTGTTGGTGTACTTTACACCCGACAGAGACACTGCACAAATTCTAATACAAATTTTACCAACGATGTTACGAATACCTTCTCGAAAATTAACTAAAAATGTTAGAAATAATAATGTGATAAAAATTACCTAACATAAACTCACCTTTATTATACAAAAAATATGGACTTTCCGGTAAAAATAATATTGGAATTCCAGTCGCTACAATTATAACTGCGAACATTATATTAAATGTCTTATAAGATAAAAACGGACCAGCAGAGAAAGTCAGTACAATGCCAAGACTGGAAAATATTTGTACTAACGTACAAGATGCTCCGCGAGTTTGTTTCTGTAAAGAAAAAAACAATTCACAAAAGACTTAAAACAATTGCAAGTTATCGTTTTGTAAAGGGGCGATAGAGATTTAAAGTTGACTAAAGCTGAAGTGGTTATGAACCTACATTACATTTGTCGAAGCAGCGACAGCGTGGATAAGAAATCTGGGCACGTCAAAGGAATTAATTACGTCGGACGTCCTACTAATGACTTCATAAAGAAGAAACCTGATATTAAAACTAAGAGGTCACTGGAAGCAGTGCGCGGTACACCACACACTAATCATATCAAAGAAGATTTCATTATAGGGTGAAATTAACTTTACAATAGTATACTTACAGTTGCAATTTCAGATGTGTAAACTGACACACTCGTTAGTATAAGAGAGTCAGATAAACCAAATAATAATCTAGCCAATATTAACATCCATACTTCAGTAGCAAATATATAAATTGCCACACCAATCATTTTTGGTACACATCCTAATGCAACGCAGTACTTTCTTCCTATGATATCCAATAGCATCGCCACGAGCAAATTAACTATAAAATAAATATCACTTCAGAATTAGGTAGATTGTAACTAGTCTAGATAAAGATTGATGGATTGCATTAAAGGTGACATATTTAAAAAGGTGACAAAGGAGATGACGCCACATAGACTGATTTAGGGGACGGAAATCTGGTGCTCCTTACGTGAATGGAACAAGGTCCGAGACGATGAGCGTTTACTTTCTTTTTTTTAAGGTGCCTGTATTTTATAACTAGATGACATCATCAGTATACGAATCGAAACGCTTGGTTATGTATTTAATCTTAGGCTAACATATCTTTGTTAATATTTAAAGAACTAATCAAACATGCAAATTCTTAAACTGAATAGTTAATCTTTTAACTTTAGCTTTTATTGTTAGAGTTGTTGCTATGTGAATTAGTCAAAGCCAATTGTTAGCGTGATATGAACATATAATACGAAGAGAATCACATAAACAAGGAAGTAATTACTTTGAATGTGGAAGACTACAAAGGTACAGGAAGACCGAAGAAAGTATAGATGGATTATGTGAAAGAAGAATATGCGTAAGAGGGAAGAAAATTTGGTAGAGATGGATTGAAGAAGAGTACATACATTGCCGACCCATTGTAAGGAAAAGGGCAAGCTAATGATTGTGTTAGGTGACATAAAATTGAACTAATATTCAAGCAATACTAAATAATAACATTAACTTACAAATAAAAGCAAATATGAATTCGACGGAAACTATCCAAGAGCCCTCCTCTTCATTGATAGAATGTGACAGACTTGTTTGCGTCTCATTGCTTAACTTCACCAACATTGGTGATGACCAAACTAAGTTCATGCCGGTCGTGAAAATACTTACATTTACTGCAAATGACAAAATTAAAAAAAAATTACTTAATATATATTGTTTGACCAAGTCACACATGGATGAATCCACTGAAGCTATCAAATAGTTTCAAATGTAATACTAGTTATTGAGGGGATATTCCGAGCAGTTTCCTTTAAATATTTTTAGTAATAGACACTGAATAGTCAGAATCACGTTACGTCACTGTTAGTCAAACAGAACGGTACCAGTACATCTTTTTGAGGTTTAATTCCTAATATTTCTTTTATTGATACATTATCATGTATTTATACGTTAAATGTTTTTTGTTCTTAAAGATAAAACAGTATAATGACTTTGTAGTATTTTTTAAATATATAAAAAAAACTTTTTCTTACACTGTTACATCCCACATATCATCATTGTAATTTAGATTTTTGCTTCTGTTTTGAGTTTTGACATTGATATGGCAGACTAAGTTTAGTAGTTTATCTTACTAATATTATAAATGCTTCCGTGGATGTGTTGATGGATGGATGAATGGATGTATGTTTGAAGGTATCTCCAGAACGGTTGAACGGATCTCGTTGAAATTTGGCGTACATATAGAACATAGTCTGAAAGTACTCAAAGGCTACTAATCATATTTTTTTTTAATTTCGCGCGGCCAGAGTCGCGGGCAACCGCTATTATATATAACTTACCAAGAATAACTACAGTATATTGTCTTAAAATAGGAGATTTTATAAACTCAAACATTTTGATAGTCACAAAACACCAAAATTAAATTTATGTTAAAAAGTTACCACGATTATAATTTGAGCAAAAAGTAAAAGACCGGTTAAGGCTGTGCTCTTCAACATATGGACAAAATAAAGTTACAATTGATAATTAAATCTTATTGTTTAACTAAAGTGCCAACAAAGATTAAAGGTTATAGCGCACTTATAACCTCCTCGCTCACACGTCACTGTCGCACCTCACGATCGCTGCAACGGGCGTATACTTTCCGTCGACTCGATGCGATGTCGGGGACGACTGGATTTTTATCATCAACATCGTCAGGCTAAGGTCGTGCGCTGCTGAACATAGGGTGGTCCGATGCTTCCGCGATCCTGTGCCACCAAGCAGTGCACTCCGGCACTGGATGAGGGTCATTGATCACCTATTGAAGCGCTCTGGCGGCGAGGCTTCCACTCTCTTCCCAACAAGCGAGAACAACAAATTTATGTTTTTATACCAAACAATCAGTGCTGTCGAGAAGACGGCGATTGAACGCAACGGCAATCGCCAGACAGGTTGATGCTGTGAGGGCAAGGAGCTTACGAGTACGCTATAACCTTAAACGTTCATGAACTGTATGTTAGTTTTGAAAAACGTTAGTGACTTTATCTACACAAATTAATAAAATCGGAGTGGCCATATGTAATACCAAGAAAAAAAAGTATTTCGTACACGTGATGTATTTGAGTTGCTGATAACGAAAATATAATGTTTATATGCTTGTTTGTCTGTCTGCAAGGCCGCGCTGACAAAGTCGCGGGCGACCGCTAGTGTAGGAATACAAATGTGAGTACAGTGGACCACAGGAGTAAATACTGTTCCATTATTATAATGGACAACCCCGAAGGCTTTTACTCGCTCGAGTGCGCGCTGATATGTCCTAAGCCTTAGTCACTCGATTCACCAAACAAAATGTTGGTGATCGTATCGTAATTATACCCATAACATTTTCGCACGATTCTTTTATTACTGTATTTTTATTAGTCTTGGGGGCAAAGACACAAAACACACTAAACGTTAAACAATTGTCGCTTTTAAAGTTTTATAACATCAGTGAATGTGACTGTAAAGGCAACCAAGTAACAGCATAGTATTGTACAGTCAGCTACAAATATACCGTAGCGGATATTTACAAATATGAAAAAGAAGAAACAGAAAACGCGCATTTAATACTCATTTATTTAACATTTCTTGAATTTCGATCAACGTTTTTCCTTTTGTTTCGGGCACGAAGAATATTCCAAAGAGACAAGCGAGTGCACACATGCTGGAGAATATCCAAAATGTGATATGACTGCCAAGTACAGATATCATATAGCCGAAGGCTGTTGCCACGCCGAAACCAAACAGCCAAGAGGTGGTAACACTGACTGTCGATCCAGTACTCCTAACGTTCGATTGGAACATTTCTCCAATCAATGTTCCCGGAATTATTCCAAAACCTGCAACATTTTTTGTAAGTTATTGAACTGATACTTAAATAAAGTTATTTCTAAAAACAATTTTGTTGTATTCAGTCTTACTAATATTATTAAAACAAATTTTGTATGGATGGATGTTTATTTGAAGGTAACTCCGGAAAGGCTAATTTGGCATAGTTGTAGAAAATAGTCTGGAAGAACATAAGCTACTTTAGTTGTTTAAGAGCCGCGGGCGAAAGCTAATATTTTATAATTGCAATAATATAACAAGCAATTCGTAATTTGAAAAAAAACAAGAAATCTGACAGGCCATACTCCTATGATACAAAGTGAACGAATTAAAATCAAAGGATTCCTCACTCTTCAAAATCAGTCAAGCTGATTAAGTTACAAGAGTTTAAAATACAATTGATGTATACAATAATACAATTAAATATTATAGTATATATAAAATCATTGTCTTACTTACCAAAATCATAAGAAAGGAAGAATATAATCAATGTGACTAACGGTAACCATTGGATTTTCATAACTGATGGGTGACTTATGTAGTCCAAATAAAAATATACACCCAGTGTCGCCTGAAAAATAAGCAATAAACATTTGTTACTAGTTACTTATCTTACTAATATTATAACTGCGAAAATTTGTATGGATGGATGTTTTAGTTATCTCCGGAACGGCTGAATGGATTGTGATGAAATTCGACACACATGTGGAACATAGTCTGAAAGAACATAGGCTACTTATTATGTTCTTTTATTTATTTCTGCGCGGACGGAGTTGCGGTCGACAGCTAGTTAATAATAATTCCTTAGTATCCTCATCTAAAAGAAACACATCGAGACTTTTACCTGATAACAAATCAAATATTTACCCATACTACGATGAAAGATATAAAAACACATAAGCCTAAATCCTATATTCTAGCTTATATAATTTGCATTACAATTGTCTTCTAGTACATGAAAAAACATAGTCATCTTATAAATGAAGCCAACTTACTAAACTCAATGTGCATACTGTTGTTGAATAAATCAACAAAATTCTCCTTCCAATCCTTTCAACGAAGAATGGTGTTAATGTACTTGAAAATATTTGTGTCACACCAATTATTATGGTAGCTATATTTGGTTCTATTGAAGAACCAGCTATTTGAAAGATTGTAGTCGCAAAGAAAGTTACTGCTATGATACCGCTTCCTTGTTGCAAAATACCTAAAGTTAGAGTTATAAATAATGCTTTTCTATTACTCTTGACCGTCAATATCTGCTTCCATTCTTCTATAACACTCTGTTTCTCAACTATTATCTTCATTTCTTGATAAATATGGTATTCTTTAGATCTTCCTAATTCTTCCATTACAAGTCCAGCTTTATCTTTCCTGTCTGAAACATGTATAGTTTTACAATAAATTATTGATTTGAAGAGCTAGCTATTAGATTTTGTTTCTGAATTTATATAGGTTGGAATTATTTTTTATTTGGCGAAATCGTAATCTGAATTTCGAATAGAGTCCTAAGTTACTCCTTTGGTTTCTAAAGCTACTCAATATAATGTGTTTTTTTACTATTCATATACATAATTTAATGGCAAAAGCAAATGCTACGTCCTTACCTTTCCCTCTACTATCCTAATATTTGTATAAGACATTTTTTTTACGTTTGATAAGTCAGCGCTTGACCACGATCTCACCTGGTGTTAGTGGAGATTTGGTCGAAAGATGGTGCGCGCTAGCTTAGTAAGTGCCTATTCACTCTACTTGTTATCTTTTATCAGCAAAATGAGAAGAATGGAATTTTTGGTACAGTCAGCAGCATTAATATGTAAACATTTATAGAGCTTCAGAATATTGTATACGCTTTCGATTTTCAAAATTAATATGCATTTATTATTATCTATGCTTCCAACCTACAATAAATGTTACAATCTCAACGTATTTTTTAAACCAAAGACATATACAAGTTTCTAAAGTATTTGAAATGTGTACATATTTATGCAGCTGACTGTACATGAGTTTTTACACTTCAAATTTCCCGTTCAAAAATTATAATAACTTTGTCCTTTCAACATTTAGTTACAACATTACCTTTTAAAATCAAATATGTGGGTGATTCTGGTATAAATAAAACTCCAAATAAATACACAACTGTAATGGCCGCTGCAATGTAAGATACCAATGCATACGAGACATATGGTCCAACTGCATATACGATGAGTGTTCCCAGCGTTGAGAAAATTGCATTACTCGTTAACAATATTCCTCTAATATTGGTCGACCTGAAATCTTACTAATATTATAAATGCGAAAGCTAAATGTATGTTTGTTTGTAGATTATCTCCAGAACGGCTCAAAGGATCTTGATAAAATTCGACACAGTTGTAGGTCATAGTTCTGAAAAACACAAACTACTTAATGAGTTTTTTTCCGCGCGGACGGAGCTGCAGGCATAAGCTGGTATATTAAATTTAAATTAATGTTACGTTTTAATTATATCGTTAGAAAATGTTGTACTCTCAAAAAGTACATGTTTTGGTTATAAATAACAGAAAGGAAAGATGAAGAAATATTTATTTAAATTCTATAAAATAATAATTTCCTTACAAAGCTTCTTAATCATTCTACAATAAAGTCCCACTCTTTTACTCTACTCGCATTATTATCTTCCTTCTTTGTCATGTAACGAAATATACGCAAACTTGTTTTTTTTTAATTTCAATTTCTACTCTAACCTTTATCCTATCAGATGAGCAATGTATGATTTACTTTCTTATATTAATACTTACGCTATTTCCCCTATATATACAAGGTTCACAATAAATATAATTCCTGTACCAAGTCCACAGAATACTCTGCCAATATATATCATAGAGAGGTTATTTGCGGTTGCCAGAAGTAGGAAAGATAAAAGAGAAATCAACCCAGCTAGTATAAAACAAGGCTTTCGACCAATCGCGTTGCATAAATACCCAGTAAGATAAGGCCCTGAAAACATAGATATTTAAATCGTTAGAGCGGACATTCGAAACAATTGCATAGAGACATTTTAAGCATAGTCATGAAGTAATCGGGACAACAACAAAGGTAAACGACGTCTTGTTAATAACTAACGAGTCACATTGAACGCATCCGCATCTGAAATGGCATTTCTATTGACTTTATAAACGGAACTCAATGAAATTTGGCATACATAAAGAGCATAGTGTGGAAGAACACATAGATTATTAATTATGTTTTTTTTTCAATTCTGCGCGGACGGAATCGCGGGCAACAGCGAGTTGCACAATATATGCTGTCTATAGCAACTTACCCAGGATAGTACCAACATATAGAATAGACCCGATAAGAGATTTTTCTGTTTCTGTCAGTTGATTTGGTAACGGCGATGTTTGGGAATCATCGATCTTTGGGATGATGGGAGCAGTCCAGCCTAGACCATAGCCCACTAGAATCTGCCCTATGTATACTGAAAGTAAATAATTTCTACTATAAATCATATTTCTAACGTTAGAGAGAGAGAAGGAACTATAACATAACCGTGGTGTTCCACTGGCGAAACAAATGTAAATACTGTTAGGAAGGAAGTCCGACACTGTGCCGGTGTACTGGCACATCACTAGCCTTACTAAAATTTCGACGCTTATGTCCCCTCACTTATCATTCTGATATTTGACATGGTAATGAAAGCGCGCCATTCGCACCAAAGGATTTTAACTAACATTGTCTTAAAACACATATTGTTTTCTCCGTCCATTCAAAATATTAAGATGCGCAACATTTTTTCGTCAATGTGTTTCGACAGAGGCAATCCATTTATATTAAATGGATGGTAACATTTTTCCGCAAAATTTATCGAACCCATAGATTTAATCGGCTAAATTAGTTATTGATTCTATAGACTGAATCGACCCTATTAGTCCAACGGGAAACACACAAAAATGCACTGATTTTGATGACAATAGAATAATTAAGAGATTAATAAAATTATAGGGTCAAAGTCGAAAACTTCTTACGTTGTTGCAACGAAATTAATCTATATTGATATGAATTGAAGACGTGTTTATAAAAAAAAGCTATTCTAAACAGTTTTTTAATACTTACATCGTATAGTTATCCATACTTGCTGTTTGACATAATATTCCAACATTTTGTTCACTAGATTTATATTTAAGAAATAATTTCTTTAAAACTAGCATTTGTTATTAATATTTTAAATTATTCACACACATATCTTCCACGATCGTTCTTGAACAAGTGATAATTTAAAATTAACTTTCTGTAGTTATGTTTAAAGTTCACTTTACTTTTATAGCAATTTACTTTAAAATGTATACCATTCTGATAAATGTTGATATTATAAAAAGTCGTAAAATATATGTTTTTTTATCATATTTGATTATTCATTATATATTTGCTATCTGCGAGATAACGGAATCCTATCTTAAATATCAAATGCCGCAGTTCGTGTATTCAAATTATATGCATACAGGTTACGACTGTCAAAGCACTCGCATAAAAACATCATGTGATCCCCCTTATATTTTTTGAGATAAATAGAGACAGCAACAATGTGACTACAGAAGGATCACAGCAATGGAAATGCACGGCAATCTTACATCTTACTAATATAAATGCGAATGTTTAGATGGATGGATGCATGCTTGAAAGTATTTTCAAAACGGCTCATCGGATCTCTATATAATTTGGCATACATATAGAATATAGTCTGGAAGAACACATAGGGTATTAATAATGTTTAATTTTTAATTCCGCGCGGACAAATTCGCGGGCGACAGCTAGTATCGCAATTCAGTTTTCGATTTATTAAATTGTACTAAATATATCTAACCTTGCAACATGTTTACGTAAATCTGGCGATAGTGCAAACTCAAATACCAAGTAGGTACGTTCGAACCTAGGTTTCTGAGTGACCAATATTTTTCTCATAATAGAGGTTTCTCTCCTACCAGAGTTTCATGCTTATGACGTCATCCATCCGGACCGAACAAATGACTCTCGCTTATAGAGGTTTCTCGTTTAGTACAATTGTTCTAGGTATGTTTTGCTGATGACCTTGGACTGCCAAGATATTAAAAAAGCATAACATTATAGACATTTAAATCATTTTACTATAATATAATATATTATATATTAAATGTTTTTTAGAAACTTAACTTTTCCCTTTTACTTTTTCTTACAAGGAAAGTATGGGAAGTGGAAGTGGACTTTCCGGATGAGAGGATGCATGGAAAGGGAAAATATTTTCTATCTGTGCATCCTCTCCTCCGTCGATTAAAGGTAGGCAACGCATATACAATTGCGTATGTCTATGGGTATGTCACTTCGCTGTTTCAGCGATTTCAGGTGGCCGCTCACTCGTTTGCCACATTATGATATAAAAAATAGTGTCTGTTGCCATCAAACTGCTATGAAGTTTGGCTACTTTAATTAAATATTGTCTTGTCATTAAATTATTCATACTTTCGTGAGACATTATACTAAACTGATATATATACACGGCTAAACACTCACGTATATACGCAGTGAGCGACGGGCCGCGTGCGCGAAATAATACCAGTACCACTCATCCTGATGAAGGGCACCCGATGGGCTCGAAACTAGTCGGTGCCGCCACCGGACGTATATACGTCAGTGTTTAGCCGTGTTTATATATCAGTTTATTGTCTTGTCAGTTTATAAATAAATAAATCAATAAATTTCCACAATTTTTTACTATCAACTATAAAGTTTGTATTACAAAGTAATGGACTACATTTACATATTTATTATATATTAAACAAAAATAAAATTACATCAGTCATTGTCTACCGAGTATTTCTTGAATTTCGTTCAAAGTTTTTCCTTTTGTTTCGGGTACAAACTTCAAAGTAAAGCAAAAAGCCACTATACATGAGAATGAGAACATCCAAAACGTGACGTCACCACCTAGGTCTCGTACTAAGGTGCCGAAGCCGGTTGCCACTCCAAAACCAATCAGCCATGCCGTAGTCATAGCAACAGCGGAGCCTGTACTACGCGCATTGCCTCTGAACATCTCTCCTACTAGTGCACTCGGCATGGTTCCGAAACCTATAAAAATAAATGGTTATTATGCTGACATACTGAAATGCCGATTACTTAATATAGTTCTTTTCTGCCCTTATCCCTACGGAGGGTCGGAACAGTATGTATTCCTCCATACACCTCTATCAGCCGTCGTATCTGAATTCACCCCCTTCTTATACATATTCTCTTTCACTCAATCCATACATACTTTCTTTAGTCTTCTACCTTTGTAGACATCTACTTTTAATATCATTACTTTTTTGTTAATACGATCATCATCAAATTACGACTATCTAAACAATTTTACCTTTATATGACGATCACAGACTAATTAAAAACAGACATCAACAAAAAAATTAAAGTGTTTAAAATAATCCCATAGACTAACGTTGTCAGCCAGTTACATATGTAAATATAATTTCTCATTACCATTGAATTCGACTCTATGTATTTATAAATCTTACCAATTTCATATGAAAAGAAATACATAATAAGCGCCATGAGTGGTAACCATCCGATGTCAACAATAATAGGACTCTTCACTCGCGATAGATAGAAAAACGTGCCAAGGATCGACTGAAAAATAATTTACACATAAATTAAAAATTTAAATTTACATTTGTAGAAGTGACCTTTAGAAATTTGCCAAAGTAATCAGCCTAATGCAATTATTAAGTTTAAAAATTTATCAACTAAAAAGGTCAAATTAATAATTAATTGTTAATTAAATTTCGTACCTTAAGAATAGTATAGAGAGTTACATATATAAAATAAGTAGCCTATGTGTTCTTCCAGACTATATTCTAAACCTATGCCAAATTTAAGCGAGACCCATGCAACCGTTCCGGAGACACCTTCAAACAAACATTCATCCATCCATCTAAACATTTGAAGACTACGAAGAAATGACGCCTACCTAACAATAGATGGCGGTGTTTTTCAATTTAACAATAAAAGATAGAGCTAGTGGCGATTTATGTAGCTTACTTTTTAATCTTACGAACATTATTAATGCGAATGCTTAGGTGGATGGATGGATGTTTGTTTAAAGGTATCTTCAGAACGGCGGCATGGAACTCGGTGAAATTTATCACATATGTAGAATATAGTCTGGAAGAACACATAGGGTACTAAATAAGTTTTATTTTTAATTTCGCGCGGACGGAGTCGCGGGCGACTGCTAGTATAATTATATTATTGAATACTTACAAGACTCATAGCACAGAATGCTGTAGACACGAGTAGAAGTATCCTGCGACCAGCTCGCTCCACAACAGTCGGTGCTATCAGACTGGCCACTAATCTTGTTGCACCAATTATAATCGTTGCTAAATCTGGCCTATTAAAAATAAAAAATATTTTACTAAAAATCATCTTACAACTTGTAAAATATCTTAATTTTAGAAAACGACCGTACTTTGTATATCGTAAAAAATTAAAGCCGTTAAAAAGTATATGTACTTATGTATTATGGGTTTCTTTTTATTTAAATAATTTTCACACCCTCACAGTCAATAAATTGTTTTTGATATCTATTTTTATGTTTATTTGAGAATTTGCTATGACAATTTGAACAGGCGCCAAGAAAAAAACAGTAGTGCTTTAAATATCAAGTGCATAAACAAAGTTGAGAGATATATCTTAGAAAAATATTGCCTAAAGTCTATAACTGAATCACCAACCTTATCGAGGATCCTGCGATCTGAAAGATGGTTGTAGCAAAGAATAAAACTGCAGCTACACCGCTTAACTGCTGCAGTGTACAAAGACTCAGTGTAATAAAGAGTGACCATCTATTAGCTTTGACTGTGAAGATCTTAATCCAAGCCTTCCAGCTATGCCCCTCATCAGGGTTTGTACCTCGCACTGACTCGAATACGTTGTCCAAATCATCAACACGACCGAGATATCGTAAAGTTTCTTTTGCCTCAGTTTCTTTCCCTAAAATAAGATAAATAAATATAACAGAATTATACAAGATTCTATGAAAATTTTTACTTTAAAAAAAACAATTTATTTTCTCAGAATAAAATAAAATTATTCTATGTTTACGTTACTCCAATCCGACAAAATACAATATTACGCGTCATAGTACTCAAAGTATTTAAACATTAACATCTTACCTTTAATCGCATAATAAACAGGGGACTCTGGTATAAACAGTATTCCAATAACATGAATTATGTTGATGATTAAGGCTATGTAACCAGTAGCTGCATAAGAAACAAAAGGGCCGATAGTATACGCCGCTAATGTACCGAATATTCCCACTATGGATGTAGATGTTAAAAGAATACCACGGATATTAGTTGATCTGGAAACAAAGGAAAAATAACTAATTAAAAACGACCCAAATCGCGTATATATCTACTAATTATTAGACTTTTCGAGTGTCCTTAAGGGTAAGGTATTACACGACTAATTTCGCAATCGCTTTTAGCTTACTGTAGACCTAGCACGTTTGTGACAATTGCCATCGTATCGTTATTTCCAAATTCGTAAACGAAACATATACGTAAAATCTCATATTAATTTCGACATGATTGTCGATGACGATGCTTGTATTTATTACATAGTCAAATCCATTTTGGAAACTGAGAAACGAAATAACCTATAAAATACTACTTAAAAAAATACTAAAATACTGTTGTTTTATGGTTTAAGTACATACAAGTAAAAGTTACAGACCCAATGTTATTAACTTCGAAATGACTTTGAAAAAATTAAAAATATTTGCATACTCAGCAATTATTTCATGGTAATAAAAATATCGCGAGCGTCGGTGGCTCAGAGGTTTAAGCACTTGATTTGCAATCTGCAGGTCCTGGGTTCGAGTCTCGCCTGTACCAATGTGTTTTTCCATTTACATATGTACATTTATCCGACGTTCTTACGGTGAAGGAAAATATAATGATGCAACCTACACACATCTGCGAAGAAATTCAAAGATATGTGTGAAGTCAACCAACCCGCACTGTGCCAGCGTGGTTGACAATGGCCTAATCACCCCTAACTTAGGATACGCTTCGAGTCCCTCAATTGGGACGTATAGAAGCTGATGATGATGAATGGAAACATTTTCGGTTATTTCTTTTAAGCTACAAAAATATATGTCAAAGTTAGAAAGAGAAAGTACTTACGCAATTTCACCAACATAGACTAGATTGCTGACTGTCACCATTCCCATACCGAGTCCGCTTATTATTCTAATAGCGTAGACCATAGCTACATTCTTTGTGGTCACGATGAGAATTATAGCGG